ATTGAAAAGCCAGAAGTGTACAGGATCATTGTCCTTGAACTGAAGATATTCCGCTTTCGCATTTTGCTGTGTGTGAGAGAGTTTATCCTGTGAAGTGCTGGCACAGGCAGGAATGCATTTTTCCCATCAGAGCTGAAGCAGACTAATGACATCTTTTGCAGTTTATAATGGAAAAAACTTCCAAAATCCACAATTGGGCCAGAAAACATTGCCCAACTGTTGATTTTGGTCCCCTCACCCTTATGGGACAACATGGCTACCTTTGCTTTTTATAGGCTGAAAGCCAGTTCACACTTGATTTCTCTGTCCTTCATGATGCATTTGGTGATTGGCAGATGAATGCATAAGCTACCTTAATCGAAAAGCCTTGCTTAGAAGGTAACATGAAAGTTTCGTTTCGTTTATGGTGTTTGAACTGTGATAGCCGATGGTATATTGGATTGCAATTGCAAGACTGGGCGGGGAGGGGGGGGGAAGACCACTGATTCCAGGACGGGGTTTTTTTTCAGAGCAGGAGTGATTATGTGATCTGCTAGAGCATCTTCTGGAATATCGGGATGATTTACAGACTTTCTGGGGCCTGGAAAATGAGTGAGGCTTTCAAGTTTTACTATTGTTTGTGAGATGAGCATAGAACACATTGGGAGAATGGAGAAAATAGTAATCGGAGGCTGTCCATTTATTCCCTTTCGTGCTACCAACTTAAATAGTAACAGTCTTTGCAAGATGGTTTGCATTTCCAATTAAAAGCTACAGGTTACATTTGAAGCTCCATGTGTTTTTTCAAGTTGAACCTATGGCAGCCCAGAAGTAAGCACCATTGTGTTTAAGATTGCAGTCTACTGACCCTAATAAAGAAGAAGAAGAAGAGTTTGGATTTGATATCCCGCCTTTCACTCCCCTTCAGGAGTCTCAAAGCGGCTAACAATCTCCTTTCCCTTCCTCCCCCACAACAAACAGTCTGTGAAGTGACTGGGGCTGAGAGACTTCAGAGAAGTGTGACTGGCCCAAGGTCACCCAGCAGCTGCATGTGGAGGAGCGGAGACGCGAACCCGGTTACCCAGATTACCACTACACCACACTGGCTATTGTGCTATGTGCTGCTGTGCTTTGGGTGTGTATCTTGTTTGTGTGCATGCATCAACATATCAGCACATCTGCCTAATTTTTTTTGGACTCTCTTTAGCGGCCTGGCTGTGGGGGTGGCATTATGAGCCCTTGGAAATTTACCACTACACCACAGGGATGGCTCGTTTACATATACAAGGCACCACTGGATGTTGTAAACCACAAGGAATTGACATGTATGTGTGTGAACCAGCAAAAAGGATGGAGGGAAAAGTGCCACCATTATCTTTGTTTCCCCCCCTCTAGGTTTTTCACTGGCTGGGGGTCTGAAGAGTGAAATAAGCCCCTCCCCAAATATCCCCCCCCCCCGCTGCAGATTTCCACCAAGAGCTACTAGCCCCATTTTCAGATCCTGTCAGGTGTGATCCAAAACTGACACTCACCTGGTCGATTTCTCTTGGATGTAATTGGAATTTCCCTTTCTCCTGATCCTAGCTGTTCAGATCCACCCCCCCCCCAGTACAAAAAGAAACCAGTGAGCCCGGTTGGGGGGATGCTGTGTTTACGTGTGAGAAAACTAAACAAAACTGGAGGGAAATCCATTGTCTCCCTTGATGTTTCCGGCCCCTGACCCTTATTGTTGCCATCTGCCCAATCCCTCCTGCTTCTCATCAGCAACCCTAGTGCATGGGTGGGGGAGGAAAGGAGGGCAGTAGCATTAACAAAATAAAAAAAGCAAAAAAAGGAAGGTGGACAGTACAAGATATGCTGATAGAGGAGTTTCTGCTTGCAAAAGGAGAGTCAGATGAGGCTGGTGTAGCGCCTGTTGCCCACATGCCTTGCTAATGAGCTTTCGGAGCATCTGGCCAGCTGTAGTTGGAGATCTGACCTGGTGGGTTCAGCAAGGCAGGGGTTTTTTTTGGTTTTTTTACATATGTATGTGAAAAGGGAAGGATGGGAGATGGAGCAGAGGAGGATGCCACAACAAACCTTTTGCTCATTGCTTAGCAGGTTCTTGCCCTCTCTTGCTGCATGCGTGTCTTGCCACTTGTTGACAGGTTTTTGTTTTTTTAATTGTTTGGCAGGGCCCTGCGGGGTCCTTGCCTCCATCACAAGCAAGCAGAGAGAAACGCGTGCCTCTGATTGTGTCCTGCTGCTGTGTGTGGGTGGCAAAAATAAATATCTTGCAAGTGTGGGTGTCCTGTAATTGCAGCAAAGATGGATGGGGTGTTTTCTTGAAGCTGCTGGGCTGTAGTGGGAGGGTGGGCTTTTTATAACTCCTTATCAGTTTACAGGGTGACTGTCTGTTTCCTATGTGGTTGTTCGTTTGTAAGCGGTAGTCCTTTGCTCTTGCTGAGCAAGGGGTGATGCAGTCCATAGTGAGAATTTTTAATTTTTGTATTACATTAATTTATGTATTGCATCTTATCTTGCAAGGTGGGTCCCCCAACTTTTATCCTTGCCACGACCCTGGGCAAGGGATCCACCCTGTAATCTTTGCAGTGCACCAATACCTAGATGGGATCTGATATGAGGGGCTGCAACACACTTATTATTTGCTGGGTGCCGTCAGTACTAAGCTTAGATAGTACCTCTGGGAGGCAGGTAAGAGCTGGCCTGCTCAACAGTGTAGAGTAATTGAATTTCAAATGTAGTGCCATGCAAGAGCTGGTTCAAAAATTGTTGCGTTCTGGGCATAGCTGTCAACTTTCAAATTTGAAAATAAGGGATCAGCAGCCTTGAAAATAAGGGATCAGCAGCCTCACCTGTCCGGGGACAGTCTACGGGATATCTAACAATCTGGGATAGCAGCGGGAAGCAGCAGGAAACAGTGCTGGAATAAGGGAATTTCCCGCAAAAAAAGGGAAGGTTGACAGCTATGGTTTTGGGGTGGGTCCAGGCAGAAAGGGACAAGTCTGTGTTATTGTGCCAGTGCTTTCAATGCCACAGGGCAGTTGTTGGAGCAAGCCGCCACAAAAAACCTCGATGTCCATGTGTGTCCAGTTTGACACGGCCTGGATGCCTTGATTTGTATCACTCACTCTCTCTGAAAGGCGCTTGCGCTGCCCACAGAGCAGCAGCCAAAAGAGCAATGAGCTGCACTGTGTCCAGTGATCCTGTGACACTCTCACACTTTGGGTGTGCTCTAAACTGAAGCAACCAGAGTTTGAGCAGCGCTAGACTCCCCTGCCTTAGAGGTTCTCAGGTTGTGCTAGGTACGGCTTGGGGTGTTCTGCAGTAATGGCTCTTCACTCCATCCTCACAGTGAATATATTATTACCAGAGGATAAGTCATATTGGACTGTTCGTTGCAAAAATCATGAAGAGACTTGTGGCGTTTGAAAGGTGCAGGCAGGCAGACGGAGCCCAAGAAGGTGCTTGCCCACAACCTTCTCAGGCTCTGTCTGTCTGTCTACGCCTTTGTCATCCGCAGGCCATTTGAGCTGGCGCAATGCATTGCCAGTTCAAATTGTCTGACAACCAGTATCGCGATCTGAACGCCATACCAGATTCAGACAATTTATCAAGACATCGCCTAATTTACCTCACAAGTGTATTGTGCAAATAAATAGAGGGGAGGAGGGGAAAGATACCCAACTAGGCTGCCTTGAGCTTCTTAGGAGGAAATGCCGGACACAAATAAATCTCCTGCCCCCCTTTCTGGGATTTCACCACAGATTCACCACCAGAGTTGGCAAGTTGCTCAAGCTCTCCAAAAAGCACTATGTGACTCTTTAGGTCAGAAAAGCGAGTGTTTGCTTGGCAGCCTCCCTCCGGGAGGGGACATGTGGAATACAGTGAGCAAAACGCCCTCTCTCCTTGCCTGGTCTCTGTGGTGACATCTTTGTAAAAATGTCAGGAGGAGTTCAGAGGGATTTTCCTCTGCTTACTCTGGGGCTTCTTTTCAGCGAGTTGCTTTAATGCTTTGGATTTTTGCTGGGATTAGCGAGATGTATTTACCTCAGAAGGGGGAGGAAAGTGAGGGTATAAAAAAAGACAGATTCTCTTAAGTCGTAGATTGGAATCAAAGCTGGAGGAATGAAAGGAGCTTCTGTGTGGCCTGGAGCCTGTTTTTGAAGTGCTGAGCCTACAATAATACAGTGCTGGCTGCCTTCTTTGCTTCCATCTTCTAATTCATTTTTTTCATTTATTACATTTACATCCCACTTCTACCACGATGGAACAAAAGGGTGGTAAACTTGGGGTTCCTAGACAAGCAGATTTAGACCTGCTTAGCGTCAGTGAGGTATCTACATCAGGTTCCTGTAACCAAGGGATGAGGAGCCTGTGGCCTTCTAGATCTTGTTGGATGCCAACAGCTATCAATCCCAACCACCTTTTCCCGCCAAAAGCTGGGCCACGATCAAGCCTTGCTTGGATCAGCTGGGATACTCCTTTGCAGCATGGCTTGAACTTAAGCTGCACAGCAAAGGAAGCGAGTTTCCTGATGTCCCGTTGGGGAGCTAAGGACCTGGTCTGCCAGGCTAAACAACATTTCACACCCAATATAAATGCACATGCATGAAGACCTAAGGCATCATACAGTGCACAGACTGCTATTTCACACCCTGCAGGTGCTGAGGTCTAATTTGAACTGTTGATGACATATTGTAGAACAATTATTTTCCTGCTACTATATCTTTAAGTGGAAGAGAAGTCAATCACTTATCTTCTATTAAATTAGTATTGGGCCACCTGTTGCAAAGCAGAATCATATAATTGTACATAACTACCACCACCCTAACCCTGCTAAATATAAATCTGAGTAGGTGGTTCAGCAAGGATTACATCAGATTTTGCTAAACTCGCCCCTTTTTTTATTTCCAGGGATTTGATGGGGTGGTGCAGAGCTTCAAGTGAATGTTTCCAGGCCAGAAATGTATGAGGTGCCTTTCTTGTTTCTTATGCTGCCGCTTGCTTGTTTTTCATAGGCTACAGAATCTTGGCCGTAGAGCTGTTTTCCACTGACTTGAACCCCGTGGTGCAGGAATTTTACCGTAAGTGTGGCAAGGCAAAGAAACATTGGAAGCTACTTTTTGCGGTCAATACTTTAGTTCCATTTAGCTTAATATTGACTACACTGAATGGCAGAGGCTGTTCACGTCTCTGAAAGAAAGTCGAAACATGGCTTAGCACAAACATGGGGGCTCCTGGAGAGGAAATAGTGACCACTTTGCTCCCTTTTTGGTCCTGCTGCTGGTGTGAGCCAAGCCATGGCTTGGCTTAGCGTGTAGGCTGAAACCAGATTCATGGTTCGTCTTGTTCCCAATAAACCACAAGCTGCAACCAAAGTTTGTTCTGGGTTGGGGACAAATCACGAGCCTGGGTTCAGATGGTAGCCTGGGCCAAAGCAATGCTTAGCTCACAGCAGTGCAACAGAAGCAGTATTGGAAGAAGTCTGAAGTTACTGTGATCTACTCTCCAGGAGTCCATGCTTCTGCACCAAGTCATGCCTTGGCTTGTGTGTAAACTGAACCAGAGGTCTTCCTCGCCCCTGCCCGGATATGCCAGAGCTTGAACCTGGGACTTTTTGCATGCAAAACATGTGTTCTGTCACTGAGTTATGACCCTTCTGAAGAACTGGATGGTGAGGAAAGCCAGTCTTCACCCAGATGTTAACCAGCCTGATCCTCCTTTGCTTCAGTGCCAAACATTGTCAGGTGCCATCAAGCTACTCATTGGGACAGGAGCAGCCAATGTGGTGCCCTCCAGATGGACTTCAACCTCCCATCAGCCTCATCCAGAATTGCCCGTGGTCAGGAATAATTGGAGCTGCAGACCAGCACCATCTAGAAGGCACCACACTGGCCAACCCCGCCAGTGCTTCCAGGAACCAAACAGTTCCGAATTGCAACTTCATCAGGGCTCCTATGCCTTTAATGGGCAATACAAAAATGTTACAATAAAATGAGAGTTCCAACCCCCCCCCCCGCACACTTTCTCCCAAACCCCAACCCTCTGATCCTTTTAAGAGACACCCCCTCTGTCACCTCACACCCAGCATGTCCAGCCAGTTGCAAGAAATTGTTGGCATGAACTAGACTACTGTTTTTGTATTTTCTCCCAGTAGTTGCTATCTGTGTTGGCTGCTCACTTGCTGGCTCGGGTCCACAATCTCCCGTCCAGCAGCTTCTGAGGTCCAGCAGATTTTTCTCTACTTGGGAGGCAGATGGAAGGCGAGATTCTTGGCTTCACCGGGCGAGGCTTTTCCCTGGAAAGGCTACGTAAATGACAAGATGTTCCTTCTTAATCTGTGCTTGTGTGTGTTCCTGCTGCAGGTGCTGAGCTTTCCTGCATCATCACTTCCACCAAGACAGTCAATCCTAGGATTGAATGGAAGAAAATTGCGGGCAAGGACACAAGCTACGTGTATTTTGACCACAAGATGCAGGGTAGGAAATGTTTGCAGTGATTTTCTTCTTGAGGTTTCATTTGAACCGCGAGCAACTTTCTGTTCAGAGTTTCAAAAAGCAGATGGGTGCCTAGAACTTTTTGCCATTTCCACTTAAGGCTTTGTGAGCTATGAGGGCTAACTAAGATTTCCAGGGGGGCGGATGTATCAGGGGACACCTTCCACCCTTCTTCCTTGCCTTTCTGTAGGAGACTGGGTGGACCGTGCAGAGCTCCATGGGAGGACATCACTGGTCATCCACAATGTGACCCGTGCAGATAAAGGCATCTACCGGTGCGAGGTTGCGGCTCCTGAAGACACGCATATTGGAGCTGAGATCAACATCAACCTGACAGTTCATGGTATAAGCCTAAATATCCTCACACTGTGCACGTACACAGGGATTGGATGCCTTTTGTTCAAATCACTTGGTGCTAGGAATGGCTTCGTTCCATCCTGTTCCATTCCCACTGGCACTCAGTCATAGACCTGCACATCCTGTTATGTGCAGATTTTTCAAAAGCCACAAAAAGCCTGCATTTAATTGTACACATTTTGTGAGCAATTTCCTCATAAACTATGGCTTTTCCAGTGCTTTTCAATGCATTTCCCCTTAAGATGTGCAGCTTTTTAAAAAATGTAAAATATATTAGCTATAAATTCTTTGGAGAAGAAGAAATATATGAGTACATGAAAGTACCTTTTACCAGTCTCTCTAACTCACTGCTGTCTACTTTAAGCAGAAGAGTCTTCCCAGTCTCAAGGGGAGGTTTCTCCCAGCCCTGTCACCTGAGAATCCTCTTAACCCGAAGTCCCAGGAGCTCAGCTGCAGAACTTCTGCTCTGCCGCTTTGCGATAAGGGCTGATGGATGCCAAACGGACAGTGAGACAGCAGTTGATGCCTGGCAAGCTTGCTATGTTGGTCCCCTATTCAGCCTTGATGTCTGCCTAGCTTCTGAGACCAGGAGCAGGGAGCCATTATTGTTGTTATTATTTAAAGCAGCTTGATCTTATAATGTGCTAAAAATCAACCAGTCACCAATTTCCCAATCCTCTCAGATCATGCTTCTTGAGAGCCGGCTTGATGTGATCTGTGGGGCTAATTACAGCGCAGAGTGAGGCCTGCAGCTGTGGCCTGTCTCTGCCTTGGTCTGTTGCTGCCCTGCTCTCTGGCTCACGAGACGGGGGCAAAATTACACCCAAGCATTGTGCATGCTTTTTGCAGTGTTCATTGGAGTGGTGCTGCTTTGTGTTTATTTTGTAACTGACTTGGAGCGGTTTAGCGATTCAGCATGAAGGGATGAATGAAACACATGTTGGGTGGGATGTGAATAGTGGCAAATGATTAACCAGTCTGACTTACCTAGTGGGCATCTCTTTCCCCAACAGTGAAACCAGTGGCCCCAAAGTGCCGAGTGCCCCAGTCAGTGCCCGTGGGTAAATCTGCTACTCTCCACTGCCAGGAAAAGGAAGGCTTCCCCGAACCAACTTACAAATGGTACCGTAATGGTGAAACTTTGCCTCTTGACTCCAAATCCAGCTCCAAATTCCAGAATTCCTCCTTCACTATGAACACAAAAACGGGCACGTTGGTAAGTCTCACGCGGCAGGCGGCAGAGGAAGGCTATCTTTTGGGCAGTGTGTTGGATTGGATCAGGGTTAGCCAATGTTGGTGCCCTCCAGATGTTGTGAACCAAAAGTTCTGTCAGCCCTATCAAACACGGTCAGTGGCCAAGGATTATGGGAGTTGTAGTTCAGCAACATTTGAAGGGGCACAGTTTAGCCACCCCTGAATTGGATGGTCTTCTGTTCACCCCTAACTATAATGCTATTAGCCTGTTCAGACATTCACTGAAATGGAAATTTTCAATGAGGAGTGGGGACATATGGGCATCCCCCTGGACTTAACCGTCCAGGGGTCCTTCACCTTTACCTTTACCTTTACCTTTACCTATGATGCTCACAATGTCACAAGCCGATGTGCATAAATGTGTACCCAGACATACCTGATTTGCAGAATCATTTTTTTCTTGGAAAATGGGTTTCAGAGGGACTGTTTAATTAACTTATTTATTAAACTTAATAGTCGCTTCTCACCCCAAGGTCTCCAAGCGACACCCACCCACAATACCATAAGGGAAGGGAAGAATGGGGGGGGGGATTGTACAATACATCATCGATATATTGCCTACTGTTAACATTTATGAAAGAACACACCTGCCATACAAACTACGCTCAGATAATAAACAAACAATGCTCTGACCCACTAATTAGCAGATAAAACAACTATTTTGTTCCCATTTTAACATCCTGCTCCACCCAAAAGGCTGGTTTCAGGCCAGCTATTGCAAATCAGCTGTGGGTGGGTCCAGCATGCTCCTCCAGGGATACTCCAACTCCACTCCCTTCAGAGGAGAACTGTAGCAAAGCAAAGCAGGAAGATGGTAGCAACTCTTTTTCCTGCTTTGCAGTTGGTCTGGCTTAAGTTTTTGCCTGTTTAATGTTGTCTGTGCTGGGTATGTTCAGCTGCTTTCTCGTATATAGGATGGGAAGTTTGTACATTTATGACTGATGGTTCATGGTTGAAAACGGTCTGCTTCTCTATGCCTGGTGACAGAAACTTGAGGCCAAGCAGGGTTGTTGTTTTAACCAACCACCTGGCCTTGAACACTTAGATCTTTCCCCACAATATTTTTTTAAAAAATCACAAAAAATTGGGCAGCCAGCCATTTTAATAGTGCCCCATCATGCATTTTAGAGGCACCTCAGTTTGTCCTATAAATCCAAAATATCTTTTAAGCAGGCGCTTTATTTCACAACGTATCATTTGAGTGTGCAAGGGAGCACAGAAGTTTCAAATCCAGAGGCAAATTAGTATCATTAATAAGAAATATGCTTATTCTTAAGAAACCAGCTTCTTTCAAGCACAAAACTAAAATATATTATTTCTCGGTGGCTGCAAATTCATTTCTGACTGAATGATGGTATATGGTGTTGCCACCCACCTTTTTGGGATGGTAGTTAAGAACTTTAGAAATAGCACAAATTGCTAGATTAACAGATGCTGGGGGGCAGGAGCAGAGATTATTTCTGTAGAGCTTTTTCCTTTTTCCAGAAATCGTTACCTTTTTAATGCGTACCAGAACGCATATTATAATGCTGCAAGACTGGGTGCTGTTATATTTTATGTAGAATACTCATTCAGAAATTTAAAAGAAAAGAAAACCTGTTTCTAAAAGAAAGCTCTTTGTACTAATGGCTTATTCTTACGGTTTAGGTCAGTCTTTCACAGACTGGTACCCTCCAGATGTTGTTGCACTCAGGCCCTTTCAGCTCTACCCAGCCCAGCCAAAGAACCATATAGACACTCAAGTTGCTGCTTTGATGGCTGTCACTCAGAGCAGTGTTTCACTTTTAGAGAAGGGTCATATCTCAGTGGTAGAGCATCTGTTTTGCATGCGGGAGACACCAGGTTCAAGTCCCGGCATCTCCAGGTAGCGCTGTCTGAAACACTGGAGAGATGCTACCGGTCAGTGTAGACAATACAGAGCTTCGTGGACTAGGGGCATGAATCAGTATAAGGCAACTTCTGTGTTCCTGATGGGAGCTGGTGATGCCAAGCTGGCCAAACCTTAGCAATAATGGCTGATATACAACTCATCACACTTGGGGTCTGGAGGGAACTGACAGGGCATTGCCTCGGTGGCTCAGAGTGAACCTTTATCTAGTCCAGTATTCTGCTTCAAACAATGAGGACTCCCTGCTCCAGCAGATGCTTTGTGAAAGCTCACAAACAGGATGGCAAAGACCACCTTTCCTCCTCTGTTATTTGTCCCCAGCATCCTAGTATTCGTAGGTAGACTGCCTCTGAGCATGGAGGCTCTGTTAGGCTATCATAGTAGCTAAACGATAGTCCATCCCTCCACTAGTTTGGCCAGTCCTTTTATTTGCAAGCCATCTATGATCAACCTATTACCTCATTTTGTGGCAGCGACTCCTATAAGTTAATTGTGCGTCAAATAAAGGGGAGAAAGATTTCCTTAATGCTTGCCTGTTTCATTGGGTTACTCTTGAGTTCCAGTCACTAACAAGAGAGGGGGAAATGCCCTCCCCGCCGGCATTCATTTTCTTCATTTTACTAATTGATGCTATAACCCCACTAGCATTTGTAGCGGAGCACCTTTTTCCCAACGTTGCACACGAAGAGAGCGAAGGAGCTGCCAGCCTCTCTTTGATCTTTCCCTCCTTAAAATGTTCAGTAGTTCTTCCAAGTGCTAAATATAGGTACAAAACGTAGGAGACACTTCTGTCCCTTCAGCAGGCACTCACAATGTCCTCTGCCAGCCTCAATTTACACTTTGGCAAGAGAGGGCTTCCTCAGCAGTTTTCTGCCGGGGGAGAACCGGTTGCTGGTTCGTTCCTGGACCACCGGCCTAGCACAGCATGGGGAATGCTTCCATTATTCATATCAAGTAGAGACAGTCAAAGTGCCAGGTCATCTCTGGGGCTCCCTGCATTCCATGGGCCTAGCAGGCTGGGGGAATGTTCTGCATTCCCTGCAGATCAGCTTTTTGTGCTCTCGCTCTCAGCCCCATCAATTTTTATAATGGTGAACTTGAGTGGCCACTGAGAAGCAGGAGGGAGGCATCACCAGCAAGGCTCTGTGGAACCCAGAGGTTTCCAGAAATACAAAAACTGGGGAAAGCATCTGACTGACGACTAAGCATGGTCAGTAGCCCTGGAATGTTCGCCTGTCAATTGGAAAAGAAAACCAGGTGTTGGAAATGGAATGTACTACCTTGGAAAGGGGGTACAGCTCAATGTCTGGATCCCTGAAAACGAACGCTCCCATTAGGAGGAAGGGTACACACTGCCACATTCTGTTTCAGGCCGCGCTTGTAGCTTCTAATTCTCTAGGTAGAGTTCAGAGCCAGTTTACACATTTGGGGGGGGGAAAGGCATGTGGTGCAGACATCTGGGACCGTGCCATTTCAGAATGCAGATTGGGGGGGATATTATAGGTCTTACTCTGTCATCCATAGGCATGCATGGTGCTTTACAAAATGCAAGAGGACAGCCCCTCCTGGTATATAATTCAGTGCAGTGGGGAGATGAGAGGAAGGAAATGGAGGCAAAGGAAATGGGAGGGGTATGCATTTATTTCATGCTCTTCATGTAGAAAATGTCCCTGTATGCAGAAAGCATGCTAGGCTTAAACCTTCCTCTCTTTTAAAGTGCTGCTTTTTCTACACGCAGGGAGTTTTTTTGATGGAAGGAGCCTTCAAATATGTGACCTCCCCCCTCCAACTACCCCCCACCCCATTCTGAAAGGGTACAGTCTCATAGAACGTACTGTACAAGAAACACACTGAGTGCTTGGGGAAAGCTTTCATAAATACCACCTATTACTGGGAATCACAACTTGTATTTTTGCAGGTCTTCAGCGAAGTGCAAAAAGGAGACACGGGCCGTTACACCTGTAGAGCGACGAATGCCGTGGGTGATGCCTGGTGCGAGGAGATGGAGATGGAAGTCTGTGAGTCTAGGAAGTGGGGCAGGGGTGTTTTTTTGCTGATGTTCAGGATGCAGTCTTTCCACCGCAAACAGGGAGGGGCTGGATGTTCATGGCTGTCTTCTCTCCTCCAGATGACCTTAACATTGCTGGGATTGTTGGAGGGGTCATGGTGGTCCTCGCTGTCCTCTTGCTGACTACAGTGGGAATCTGCTGCGCATACAGGAAGGGATTATTTGTGAACAACAAGCAAAATGGAAATAGGTAAGCCTAAGCAACTGATTCCTCATCTCACTGCTTTCCCCCCAGGTGATTTTCTCTCAGCAGAGGGAGCGAAAGACCATGTGATTAAAGCCAATCTGCATGCACACATGGGACTGGGTTGCATGTAAGGCCAACTGCTTTAAAGAGCAAATGCCTCAAATCTGGTGCAATGAACTGAGCGCTCATTACACAAGGTAAAAGAATTCTAACAAAGGGGCACTCCCAACGGCTGCAGGACAGTCAGCTCACATAGGCAGCTGCCTTCCGACAGAAGCACAATCAATGGCCTACTCTCCCTACTTTGAATGGAGAGAAACATTAAAGGAAACAGTCCTTGGCGATATTGCTACAGTGGTACCTCTGGTTGTGAACAGGATCTGTTCCGGAGGCCCGTTCGCAACATGAAAAGAGTGCAACCCGCAGTGGTGTGTCTGCGCACGCGCAGGTTGCGATTCACCGCTTCTGCACATGCGCGTGACGTCATCTTGTGTTTCTGTGCATGCATGAGTGGCAAAACCCGGAAGTGTGTTCTTCTGCATGCAGGAAGTCTCAGGTCCAGTTCAAAGAATCTCTAGTTTAAAAGGATCTGTTTGCCAGCTGATGGGAAAGGTCTGTTTCTACTTGAGCTGGCAATACTAGGTTAGGTGGACAAATTGTCTGACCTGTGATGAAGCATCTCCCTGTGAAGACAGTGCCAGCCTTGTTCTTTGGGTGGGTGTTCACATTTCCTCATCAAAAGAAATGGGGGTGATGGTGATTTTCGAAGCTGGGGGATAAGCTCTGACTGTAGCAGGTTTGCCCATCCTGAGAGAACCAGGGCTTCTGGAATGCTGCAGGTCAGGATGTGGGGAGCACACAAGTGAAATAAGGCAGGGTGGAGATGCAGGGCCTATTCTCAACAGGGCTCCTGTGCCCTTTAATCTATGCCTGTGCAGTTTTGCACCGTGGCCTCTGAACACAGGAGTTTTAACTTACTGGCACTGGGCAGAAACCTTGGGCTGAGACGCCTGACTTCTTCATTTCTGTCATCTGGTGCTCAGCTTTCCCGTTAATGCATCTGCTGGGTGACGTGAAATGAGGCAACTTTCCTGCGACCAGCTGCAGTAGCGAGTGAGCCCAAAGGCTTAAAATTAGTCACAACAGGAAATGACACCCGAGGAAAAGGAAGACCCTGGGGCAGTGACCAGAGAAAGATAACGTAGTTCCCATCTTATTTGTTAAAACTGACTCAGGCTTCCGAGCTGCCGGGGCTTAAGAGTTGGAGATCACCCTTGCTCTTAGAGCAGCCGTTGAAGGGCTCCAGCTTGGGTATATCTTCAGTTCGATGTTTCTGTTTAATCGCAGGGCATATACATAACACAAAGAGCAGGAAGTGTGTGTTATTTGGCTTTATATAATCAATACTAAGACAGAAACAAACTCTTCTAAACGCTCGAAAAAGTTGCTTCCCCTAGCTGTTCTCCCATGATGCAGCTGTTTGAAGGTGCAGGTCTGCTGAGAGTGAGGTACAAATGAGCCCACTGTGCAGAGCACACAGCTTAGCAAGGTTGTTCGTGGGTCAGGGAGCATTTTCTCCTAGCCAAATGCCAAACTACCAAACCACCAAGTTCTGCCTGAAAGGCGGGTTAGTGCCCACAGCTTTCTTTCTCCTTCCCGTCCCTCCCAACTTCACTCCTGTCAGCATTTTGTCTTGCCTTCTCCTTGGACTCCTTTAGTATTGCTCCAAATGGGCATTCTCACAATTCATGTCTGCTTATTTCAGTGCAATGGAAAGAAACTTTGGCCCTTTCGATTTGCCATCATGGGGAAACCTTTTTGGACTTCCTGGCTTGTAAGAGTTCAAGCCGCAGCTACAGAGCACTGTGCTTCCTTTCTGAGCCCCAAACCAGCCTATGCATTTTTGTTGTTGTTTAGTCGTGTCCGACTCTTCGTGACCCCCTGGACCAGAGCACGCCAGGCACTTCTGTCTTCCACTGCCTCCCGCAGTTTGGTCAAACTCATGCTGGTAGCTTCGAAGATACTATCCAACCATCTCGTCCTCTGTCATCCCCTTCTCCTTGTGCCCTCCACCTTTCCCAACGTCAGAGTCTTTTCCAGGGAGTCTTCTCTTCTCATGAGGGTGGCCAAAGTACTGAAGCCTCAGCTTCACAATCTGCCCTTCCAGTGAGCACTCAGGGCTGATTTCCTTAAGAATGGATAGGTTTGATCTTCTTGCAGTCCATGGGACTCTCAAGAGTCTCCTCCAGCCCCATAATTCAAAAGCATCAATTCTTCGGCGATCAGCCTTCTTTATGGTCCAGCTCTCACTTCCATACATCACTACTGGGAAAACCATAGCTTTAACTATACGGACCTTTGTTGGCAAGGTGATGTCTCTATGCATTTTACCCTGCGGCTTTGTAATGTTCTCTGCGATCTCTTCTAAATAAATACATAGGTAAAATCATGTGAGGGAGCACACACACACAGTCCTCCCAGCAGCAGATGCTTGAAAACCAGTGATCTAACTAAGAGCCTTCTTTCCGTGGCGCGAGTAAATTGTTTATTCCTTGTTTCCAGCTACAAGACTCCAGCGAAGCCAGACGGCGTGAACTACATCCGCACAGATGAAGAGGTAAGAAGGTCCCCCAGGGCCCAAAGTCAATAGATACATTTGAAATAGGTTAGATCTCAGGGCGATGCATTCACTGCAGATGAGCCGGGGAGGCAGCTCCAAATGGTGGATAGACGTTGGTGCTGACTTTGGATGTTGAAGCTTCCTGGTTCAATGCTGCTTTTATATATATTTAAAAGGCACCCTCTCCCATAATGCTCATTTAATAATTAGGGCAGAGTTCCAGGGCTATGTGCCCTCCTGATAAACAAATTCTATGTTTCCATGAATTCAACTGCTGGAATGGGAAAAGGTGGATTCTGTGACCTGTATAAATTAAGAAAAATTGGCCTGATTTGCATATTTGTTTCTTATGTGTTTCACTGCCCCCCACCCAGTTTTGCATGAAGTTTTCAGCCTTTGCTAGTAGTGGGTGAGAACTGCTTTCCTCCAGAGTTATATAGATTAAATAATTATATCCTGAGTAATTTTGTTTGCACAAGGTGTACCGATTCATTGCCCGCAATTTTGGGCTTTTAAGTGCAGAGTAGATGTGAATCTGGGCTTCCCTTCCAAGTGCAATTATTTAGCTTCACAAGGCAGAACAAAGCACCTTGAAAGTTAAATGGAGGAAGCCAGGTCTCTGCCCCAAGCAGCTTGCAATTTAAATCTCAACGGTAGGGGAGCCGACAAAAGAAAGGGAGGAATGAGTGAAGCGAGGCAAGAAAGGGAGGAATGTGATCGAGTGCCGTTAACAAGCACCCTTCCTGCCCATGCGCGGCTTGATCTAGTTGCCACTTTCCCATCTGTCTGACCTTCTCAGGCAGGTGAGAGAAACAAAATATCTACCCTGCAGCAGAAACACACAGGTGGCTGCTTTAAGGAGCCCTGGAGTCATTCAGAACCACAAGCTAAAGGGTGAGCTGCAGCCGCCTTTGTATGACTCCATCTATAGGAAGAGGCCAGGGAAGTCTCAGGAGATTGTGCTGGTTGGAGCACTACATGTGGCAGGTGTGAGTGGGAGGCCAAGGAGGAGGAAGAACAGAGTGCTGCTTTCTGGACTCCATCGCCTCCATTCTGAAGCCACAGGGACCAAAGGGATGTGTGGAAAACCCAGAACCCCTCATCAGTCTTAAGTGTAGGATACAAAAATGGCCTATAATGATTCCGTTTCATAGAATGACTTTGCTTTAATTTAGGCTGGGCCAAGCAGTTGCAGGAGGTGTACCCTATAGAACTTCTATACCCCCCACCTGAAAACCTTTCTTGTTTCTCCATTCCAGGGTGACTTCAGGCACAAGTCCTCATTCGTGATATGAAATGGCAGAAGAAATCTGGATTTTGCCCATCAGCAAGAATGGAATATGGATAGAACCTCCTTCTGGAACTCTTTATGAAAGAGCAGATAACAAACGGCGTGTGCATGGATACGCTTTAGAGGAAAACCGAACAAATCACCCATGCACACACAAACACATTCACACATGTGTGCATACCTGATTTTTATTTTTTGGCCAAAGTCAAGCGATGATTTCTTTTTTTTCTTTCTTTTTAAAAATAACCAAACCAATCTCTCTTTCCCTGGAAAGTGCCATATAGATCAGCACAGTCCAGACCCTGTGGACAAGGAGAGGACCTTTGGCAGGAGAAAAAACGATTCCCTAAAAGTATCCGTGGGACCACGTTCCTCCATCATTCCTCCATGCCACTGGAGGCTGTGGAGCTGCCTCCTGCCAGTGTTTTACAGACTGCCAGGCTACCAGCACTTAAAAGGGGAAATCTTAGAAATGGGTTTACACTACTTCCTTTCCCATTTCTTCTCTCTCTCTCTCTCTCTCTCTCTCTCTCTTAATTCACAGAAGTGTTAACAATGGCAGTAGAACGAAATTCTGCCTAGAGAGATCAGAAAGGCTCTACTGGCCAGCTAAGCATCTGGTGACCTGATGCTTTGAGTTGGGATCCTTCACTCTCGCAGCAGCTGCGTTGAAAAGCACAGAAGCAGTGTGTGCTTTCGTTTTCCTAAAGCGCAAATAACGGAAACAGCAGACACTTCCAGAGCCCCCCAGAAACTACGTTGCTGCCAGCCAATTGCTGTAATTCTTGCCAACAGTGTCCGCTTATTAAACATGCACACAAGGCACCAATCAACACATGGAGATGGCAGGAATTCCAGGATGGTGCCATAGGATGCAGTTCCCATGACAACACACACTGCACAAATAGGATGCCATGAGCCTTCTGCCATCAAAGCATCCTAGGGCTTAGGAGGCTACCATAGTCTTTATTGATGTCTTTTGTGCACCATTCCCTTTCACAAAAGTACTCTAGGCGTGGGGGCGGCACCCTCTCACGAGTCTAGATATATACAAGCCGCATTCCTTGCTGAGGCTTATATGCTCTTGACACTGCTGTGATTTTCTTCTGAGTCAGTTGCAATCCTCCATTGTGTCTAGGAACAGGCAGTGAGGAAGTAAGTAGGACAGCCATTCCCTTCTCCCCACTGAATGTTCCTTAAGGTATGACAAGGTATTTCGTTGTTGTAACTTTATGCTGGCGGAGAAGGCAGATTAAGAGGGTGGGATTTGGTCTAAGATCGCCATTCCTCTGATCCTACACAGTCTCTGGCTCACGCCTCCCCACCTTGTAGTTGACAGTTGTCATGCCATCACCACACTTCACTATAACAGCTTAATTTGGGCTTAGGTGATGGACATCAGATTGTAGTTCTGGCAGCGAACCTCTGTATCAGCAATGACAGAACTAAGTGAATGATTCTCACATTGAAAAATAGCATGCCGTCAGGAAGGTTAGGCGAAAACCCTTCTTGTTGACATTCTAGTTTTCTCTGTGCGGGGTGTTTTATTCTGTATGGTGGAGCATCTGGTCACGTGAGCCACCCCTACCTGTATTAGGAAGTGGTACGGCGCACACATAGGTGAACCACCTCACCTTGGAGTTATCCAGGTGTTAAGGGTTTTCTTGGTGATGCTGCCTTCAGCCAGCCAGTGTAACTTGTGGATTCAATTATCACGTTGTTATAAAGGCTGGGATTTGGAGGGTGGTGTTGGCAAAAATATATATATATTTGTGTGTTTGTGTGAATCTGATTTAACTGCTTGGGAGGATTCTTTGGTCATTCCATCTTTATTATTATTCAGTAGGCTGATCAGGTGGTGCATGGTCAGCTCAGCCTTGTCAGTTTCCAGTGCCACAAGTTGGTTGTGTCACCCTGAAGTTTTGCCCACAGCAAAATTCCCAAGAAATCTACACGAAGCAGGATTGAGTGGGACAGAGAACCTTTGCCGAATTTCCTATTCAATGTCTCTGCAACGTTTCAGCCATTTTCAGGCCAGCATGAGAACATTTCTTCCTGGTTTTACATCAAAATGCCCCCTGTGCTCATACAGCACCTAATCCCGCTAATTCGCATTGAGCAATCTTGCCTGTTGTGCACCCCTTTCCATGCCAATCAAAGCATACAGGTGCTTCCCTGGACAGGTAAGCGCAAAAGCCAAACCTTCTGTGCAGCAGGGCTGAAATTCCAACATGGTACCAAGACTGAGGGCAAAGCTTTTCTACCGTTGCTCCTTTTGTAGAATTCCGCATTCTAAAGTTTTTGCAAAGATATATTTTGATTACTTAAAAAAAAAAGTGGTTAATGTTTCTATTTAAAATGTAAATAGGTTGGTAGGCCAAACAGTGTTGAAGTAATAATGTAGCTTTTTTGAAGAAAGGCTTCTTAGGTTTTATTTAATGACAGGTGGGAGATCCTGTGCTGATTCAAACCATATCAGTATTGTTAACAAAGAGCACAGAAAACTGTAGAAGACAAGGAAAGTGGGCAGCTTGTTCTCTTCCTGTTTCCCTTTGTTTGGGGTTGGGGGTGGTTGGGGAATAAGACATATTGTAATCTGCAGGAAGAATTGCTTTTATCTCTCAGTATTTCTGCTCTTCCTGCAGCAACAAAATGGACCAGGATGGAAAGAACTGTACAATTAGTTGCAGGAAGGGAAGTGTTTTATCAGATGGCAGCCTTCTGATGCGTCACGCCGAACGGACAGGTTTGTGGTAGAATGTGGCATTAGAAGGAAAAGCCCCAAATGTGGGCAAGACCTTTGGCACACCCAGGGCAGCTCTAACCCTTTGGATGTTCCCTTTGAATCCTGGACACACGTAAAAGCAAAAGAAGAGGAAGAGTTGCCAAATGAATCTGTTAAGTTTTAAGAAGGCTAAAGCCGCCTCTTAATCTCATGTGATTCATTCAGTTTCAGCTCAAAAAAACTTGGGTCACAAATTAGAAAAAGAGGTTGATTGAGAAAGTACACAGGGTCCCCTCCCTTTTTTAGTAGTAATTATGGGGGCTGCCAACACATCTAGCTATAAACTGATAATTCCAAGTTTCTTGCCATGTTTTATTCCGCCGTCTGGAAGGGTGCTGTGGGGCCAGTCATTGTGCTGCAAGAACAATTTCCTGCCGTTGGGTGGGGGTGGGGAAGAGGGGCAAGCGTGTGTTTCTTCTTTTTTAAAAAAGCATAGCATACTTTTGCAGCAATGGTGTTTTTCAACTACCAATTTTATGGTCTTAACTTTGGATGCAGACAGTATTTTATATTATTATTGCATTTTTTGATTTTTTTTTGGACTGTTTTGTGTTTCCTTTGTTCATGGTCTGTATTAATCTGCCTTGGAATATCCAAAATGGCGAGTGGATTTTTCTTTTCTTTTCTCTTGGTGTGTGTGTGTGTGTGTGTGTGTGTGTGTGTGTGTTTAAAGAGAGTTTGGAGATGTCATTGATGTGTTTCATTTCTTTGCAGGGGCCCAGATCCCTCCCCTCTCTTTTCAAGCTAAGGTGGCAACAATAAAGGGGAAGCTGTACCAGGGCATTTCACTGCCGCTATCTTGTTTTGATTTAACCATGGCTACCTCTAAGAGGCATTCAACCAAAGCATAATTTTCTTCCACTGCCGAAATGCTTCCCCCCTCTAAACCTCAGTGATAGAATAGGGTTGCCTTCAGAATCAAAACAGCTCTCCTTTCCACTTTTGTTTGTTCATTGTGCTGCTTGGCAGAGAGCAGAGCAAAGGCTTGCAGTATTATAATTTATTAGAATGAATTGAAATGAAGGGCTAGGAGCACCACCCACCTTTGAGACATGTCTAAACGACTCAAGCCCATCTGGGATTAGCAGTCATTATTTGCAGGCTGGGAAAATGGTAGTTCTGCAAGAGGGATAAGGTCTTAGCACAGGGATGGGGAGCCAGTCGGGTCCTTCTGATTCTGTTGGATTCTAGCTCCTTTTAGCTCCAGCCAACATGGCAAACAGTTAAGGATGATGGGATTTGGAGTCCCAACAGCATTTGGAGGGCTACAGTTTCTCTCCAGCCCCAAGCAGAAATATAGTCCATCCCCTTTGCAAAGCTGCCACTGTAGGATATTGGGTAGATGGTGCCTAGGTATAAGGGGAACATGGAGGTTTGGTTCTCAGTAGGCTTGGGAGCAGGGAGAGGACTCTCCGTTAAACAGCAAACTGAGGGATTCAGTGTGTGCTATCAGGGCACCTGGCTAAGGCTGAATTGGTCTTGGGTTCAGTTCTTTTAGCGCTGCCACTTTGCACACAAAGTTGCAGAATTTTGGATGGTGCAGTTTTAAGAATGCAGTTGGAGAAACCATTTTCGAATGGTCCTCTGTGGCTTAAAAAAAACAAGCCACCACCAGTACAGATAATGAAGTCTCACCTAAGGAGGAAAACAATGCAGTTTGGTATACGCAGTTAACTTTCCACTTAGGAAAGTGGTTTTTCCCTTTTAAATAAATAAATGAATGAATTTTTCACTTATGCTCTGAAATGCTACTGTCCATCCTACCACCTCTCAGGACCATACTGTCCCATTCTGCAGCAGGTGACTATGCAGCCCCGTATCATGCAAGAGGGAGGGGGTAGAGCGGGGGAGCATACCACGTCAACCTGCAGGTGGTGAGGGGGTCATTTTTTGAATGCTCGACTCCACACCGAGCATGCAATAATTTAGCACTTAAGGAAGAAGCGATTCATACGATCATTTCCTCGAGATGCTTCCTTTATAAGCATGCACTGTTTTAGATGGAAGACCGTTAAAAATGTGACCCTGCTAGCTGCAGTCTAAAGTGGCACAAACCTGCCATTTTACCACCATAATCTGCTCTTATACAGGAGAGTTGGCTGTGGTTGTTGCCTTCAATGAAGTGTTCTTCCAAAAGGTGAAAAGGGAGAAAGACCTAGATAGGAGGGACCGATTATTCATCTCCTTTTTATTTATACCACGGGAGTTTCTTAGATTGAAGTCATATCAGTTGATCCAGTTTCGTCACATAGATTTCGTCACATAGGGTGCTTGAAAGGCTGATTCCTCATTTTACTTGGATACTCCACCCCCGAAGAAGATCATGACTATTCTGGGTTCAGAAATGTACCAGTGGCATCTCTTCCCAGGTCAGGGGTGTCCACCCTTGAAATAGCTTCACAGAATTCATTGTAAATATTTGACAAGTTTGTACTAATGTGTTGCATTTAACTTTGCCAAGAATGTTTTACATAAATATAAAAAGAAAAGGTGTGTGGAGTAGTCTTTTGTTGTGGTTTGGGAAGTGAGGTGGGATGAGTTCTCTGCAAATAAAGTGGTGGACACATGGAGGAGCTTTTGGAGGGGTGGGAGATGGTTTGCTGCTGAAGCCACCCAGGGGTTGTGTGAACTTGTTCAGCAGGTTCCTGTGTAGAATTAAATATTACCTAGCATTTGGGTGAAATCTGTACGAGACAAATGTTAGGAGTCTCACTAGGTTACTGAAACCAACTTAGCACAGCAACTCTCCCAGAAGGACAACTGACCTTTCTTTGTGACAGTGTTCCCTTGGGGAGGAGGCTAACTTCACTGGACTGCAGCAATGATGGATTGCTTGTACGTATGAAGCCAGCACCACAGACACAGCTTTGGGCAGACAGCCTGAGAGCAGCTTGGCTGCAAAGACGGGGTTACATGATGAAACAGGGTTATATATACTGTCGCTGTTTAAAACCTCAGTGCCACATGTCTTCTGTGGGTAGGACAGAGGTATATAAATGCTTTAAATAAACAAATGGACATTCAAAAAAAGATGCCAGAAAGCATACCACAGTTGAATTAGCATTTGTGTGTTCAAGGGGTGGTCTGCATGGAACAATCTGCAGTCCATACAGATGGGAGTCAGATTTTTTTAAAAAAAGGTTTGTGGCCCATAGTTCCGCCTTCTCTCTATCACCCAATAGCATTTCTCTATCTTCACTTGCTTGTTCTTCCTCTTGCTTTGAACATAGCTGAACAAATCTTTATTATTAGCTTTGGCCTGCCAGGCCTCCGCCCTGCAACTGTTAGCTACTTGTGTATATTCTTCCATTGTGATTTCCCCTTTCTTCCATTTCTGATACATAAACTAGCCTCTTAAGCAATTATGGAATCTAACTGCTAGCACAAAGGGACACGGGTGGCGCTGTGGGTAAAAGCCTCACCGCCTAGGGCTTACCGATCGAAAGGTCAGCGGTTCGAATCCCCGCGATGGGGTGCGCTCCCGTTGCTCGGTCCCAGCGCCTGCCAACCTAGCAGTTCGAAAGCACCCCCGGGTGCAAGTAGATAAATAGGGACCGCTTACCAGCGGGAAGGTAAACGGCGTTTCCGTGTGCTGCGCTGGCTCGCCAGATGCAGCTTGTCACGCTGGCCACGTGACCCGGAAGTGTCTCCGGACAGCGCTGGCCCCCGGCCTCTTAAGTGAGATGGGCGCACAACCCTAGAGTCTGTCAAGACTGGCCCGTACGGGCAGGGGTACCTTTACCTAACTGCTAGCACAACAGAAGGCTGAGGCAAAGCTGTCGAAGCAGGTGAAGGAAGGCAGAGAAGCTCCTCCCACACCAAGAGGGTCCAACTCATTAGCCTAATCCTACATATAAAGCAAGGCAGGGGCACAATGCACAGCTGGTAGCCTCCACTACTGAAGGAGCATTTCTGATGCTGGATGGGTGGTTAGTATAATTTCTCTGTATTGATAGTGCTTTCCCCTAATTCACACAAGATCCAAAATAATTCCAGAATAAACTATGCAAAAGTTGCACAAAACTACACAGGTTAAATAATCCAGTTCCCCCTCTAAGCAGACAATTCCAAACAATTTCATACAGGCCAGCTTTTACCAATAGGTCCTTTATGCCAGGTTTCTTGAGCAGCTGACTGGCCCCTATGAGTTAGAGCCAATGCTGAACTAGACTAACCATTCATCTAACCTTAAAAGACCCTTTTATTCTTAGAAAGTCATGCAGTCAACCCATCTGGGAATTTAAACGTAGTCCTGCCCTTTTACATTTGACCCTCATAACAGTCATGTTTTCAGACCCCTCTTTTATAAGAACTATTTCTAAGTAAAATGCTCATAACTTTGAGAGCCTCTTGATCGAGATCGTCTTCGGATATTACGCTACCTATGCAGGAAACAAATGTATTAGAGAAGGAGGCAAGCGAAAGGCTCAAACAAGTTACACACACACACACACACACACACACACAATCTGCAGATAGGGTTTCAGTCAAATCAAATACTTGAACATGTAAGCTTAGCTCTTATTTATTGTGCATACAATCATAACCAAGCCTAAGTTAAGAACCTGGCTGGAAGCCAAGAAATAATCTATTAAGATAAGAACAGGAAGGTTGTATATACACAAAGTTATTCACATGCTGCGATTATTTGAATAAAGCTCTCTTACCAAGTTTCTTCTCCAGGAATGGCTTTGGCGCAAGTCTTCAAAGCCCTGTAGGTCAAATTTGGAAATGAGGCACCTAGTTTTGCTCAGATCCCAGAAGGCTGTGGCCCTTGGTCCTTTCTCCTTGCACCCTTTGCTGGCCAGGGCTCCTTGTTCTAAACAGAGGACAACACAGATTCTCCTGACTTCTTGACATTTGGACTTTCAAGAGAGCAGGAGTGCTCATGTATAGAAACTTCCTGTGGCTCTTTGGCTTTTTCGTGGGGTGCATGGAGTGGAAGGATTCCGTAATAAGGGATGTCCAACTGCAGCATGGCACTGTTTACATGCATTCTTTCCATGGAAATAATTGCAAAGGCCTTCCCTGCAGTAGATGATCTGATCTGGACAAAGCATTTGTCCATGGAAGCCAAGTCTCTTTCCCATTTGACTAAACACTGGTATTACTCAAAAAGGGCATGTCCAGAAAGTAAAATGAGATATAAAAGCTGTGAAGGTAAATGTTTGAAGAAAGGTTTTTTGAGACAGTACATGTTGGTTCTTTGGCAGGAGCAACTCAGATGTGCAGCCCCACCGACCTGGATTCAACTGCCTCAATGACTTTTAAAATTATTCCAGTACATGTATATAGAAGCTCAAATATATACAGAATGTGCCCCAACCAGTGCAGTGATGAATTACTAATATTAACAGTATCAAAATAGACATTTATCATACAGCAATTACAAAAGCAAGCCGTGATCTTCAAACAGTCTCTTCAAGCCATTGCAGAGAGGATGTAAAACATGATCATGCTTCTTTAAAAGCTGGGGCTATAGAAGGCAAGGGCCATCATTTGCTTGACAGCCTGGGAGTCTTGCGGCTGGACCTCCTCAGCCCTACACTTGAGGGGTTGCTTCTCCTCATTGGAGAGTTTATCTTCCACTGCTGAGGCTGCGGCAACCTACAAGTTGAGATGGAAAATAGGTTAAGTAAACTAGTGTTTAGAGCAGGGATGGGGAATCTGTGGCCCTCTGCATGTCATCAGACTCCTGCTCCCATTAACGCCAGCCTACATGGACAGAGGATGATGGGAGCTGTAGTTTAATTAACATCTCAAAGTACACAGGCTATCCATTCCTGGCTTAGTCATTCTGCACTATAACAGGGAACACAAGTTTAGTGTGCAGCCAAAATCTGCACAAAACGGGGGTCTCGCCGAACAATGGGGAATCTGCTTTTGTCCAACGAGGAAAGCAAGGATTGCATCCATTGTTGGTCCTACCCAGAGCAGAATGACTTGAAATGAATGGGCATGATGAGTTCTATTCTAGAAAATCGCTTGAATGCTGCTCATGTAAACAAAATCCCTACTCGCTGAAAACTAGAATGAGAGAGAGAAGGCTACCCTAGAATACTTCCTCCTAACTTACTATTTGACGGGTGGAGAGGGTTTTGCTCTGAAATATGGCATGTAGTAGTTACTTATTTCCAAGACTTTCGTGTACAGAGTTATTTTTAAAAAGAGAGTTATGGGAAGCACTCTTGACATCTGCCTCCCAACTGCAGTTTACAGTGATATTTTCCACCAGCAAGCTTTGAAATAAAGGTCATTTGGGTGGCTTTCCGATGAACAGCACATTGACATCTTCTCTATTCAATAACCCTTTGCTGGCTGCACCACAAGACACATTGTTTCACCACCATTTTGCAAAAAGGGCAGTTACTGCTGGTTTCAACAGTTATTCTTTCTGCCAGGGAGAAACAGCACTGGTGCCTGGGAATGAATTCTGTCTGTGATCTCCACTGCACGGAGCACAAGTGTTGGTTGGAGTGCAGAACTAGAACTGGGGGAGACCAGGTTCGAATCCCTGCTCAAATGCAAAGTTCAATGGGTGACCTTGGGGCTGTTGCACTCACTTTATCAGACTAATACATAAAACGGCAGGAGGGTGTGTGTGAACTATGTGTGTCACCCTGGGCTCTTTGGAAGAGTGGGACAAAAACATGCAGAACTACTGTTTGGCACAAGCTGATTTTGGGATTGCAGAGCTGCCCCAGCCAAGGCATCTATTATACTCACGGCGAATCTGGTAAAGGCAAGCAGATAATCTGACTTGGTGGCTTCTGGGCTCCTTGATCTCCTGCAAGTGGAATGGCAGAAATATTAATATGCCTTGGGTTTGTTTTTTTCTATCTGTCTGTCTGTCTTTCGTTTCTTTCTATCTAACCACAATAATGCACAGCAGCAACTTACCTGCATCTGAAGCTGGCGTTTGGGTCTGGTGGATATAACTGACTCCTGACCCAAAGGTCACGTTGTTAATAGTCTCTGGGGAAAAAACACCACAAAGTTTAGCACAAGCTCACCTGGACACTTAAGAACTGAAAGGAGTGTTGCGAGACAGGTGGAGTGGCCAATACTAAACCCCTCCCTAGCAGCCAGACCTCCTCAGATTGCTATAACAAAGATGGGGGAATCAACCAGGTATGCAAACACCTAATTGCTTAGGGTAAGAGAAGAAAACAGTTTGAAATATGGAAAATTCACCTCTTCTCCTTTAACTTCCATTTTTCAGGCTCCTGATATGCCATTCATGGCTTCATGGAGATTTGTGTGGGTAAGCAGGCTAATAAAATGTTTGGGTAAGTCAGAAAGTAGGTTTTGGGGAGGAACCATATTCACATGCTTTGCCTGCACAATATCCCGGATTCAAGCCCTGGTTGTTAGCCGCAAGAGACTCTGGAGAGATGCTGCCCATCTGAGTAGACCGTTCGGATTAGATGAATCAGTGGAATGACAGCACACCAAACTGCGTGCAGAAGCAGCTCTTTAGTTTCCAGAGAACC